TAAGAAGCATTTGCCATACCTGTAGTCACTCTTCAAATCTTTAGAATATTAATTTGATGAAGATGAAATAGATATTTACAATAAAATAGTTTCTGGAGGCCTTGAGGGTACGTTTAAAATCTGGTTGTGTTTATCAGCAAAGAGCCCATATGTCTCAAGATGTTCTATAGGCTGATGATTGAGGGTGAAAGAGAGTTGGTTTATGAGCATGCAGCCTTGAGACAATGAACACTATCTTTAGCTGTAAGGAATTTCCTGGGCTCATCCAGCTGGAGTCCATTTGTGATGGAGCCTCATCAGAACCAGGTGTGTGACTAACAGTGTGTTTCCATTTTATATTCTCCTCGTCTGAGAATAGAACTGAGTCCAAAATACATTTTGTCATCTAGTGGACTAACCAGTGATGAATAAAGCAGGTCACTGAGCCACGTTTGTTGCCACCTCATGTTTCATATCTGCATCGTTGGTAGCAAAAGTGCTCATGGGAAGCAAAACAACCAATTAATATATTTAAATTTCAAAGTGTATTCCTGCAGCTCGTGGCTGTTGAAATCCCCAATGTGTTGAAGCATTGTTACAATCAGCTCCATTTGTTTCAGAGCGCTGCTGGCTGGAGGTGGTTTCTCTACATGGACCTACAGACAAGGTTATGATGTCAGCATCCCAGTTTACAGCCCACTTTCTGCAGATGTCGAGCTGCCTGAGAGACAGCCTGGGTGAGCACATCTCACACGATTACTCTCATGTTTTGTTATCATGATCGAATAGCTTCATTACAGACAGTGCTCCAAGGAATCAAAATCATGCAAGATATTTGGTGGTTCAAAATAAACATAATTGTGTTTAAGCAGCTTTTTATGCTAGGCTTGATTAAGGAATTAGTTGATCAAGGTAGGTACAAAATAAATTGTGTGCGTCTTCATTCCCCCAGGCCACGGCGCTTCTTTATTCTATCTTCTCAAACTGCCATCCACCGAGAGTACCGCGCTGAACTGGAGCGCTTGAAGGAAGAGAATGGTGAAGCGTTGCTCCTCCTGGACAAATGTAGCAACCTCTCCCAGGGCGCCGCCTCTGCACAAAAACGCTGCTACAAGGGGCAGGTGTATGACTACCCACAGATCCTTCAGGTGGGGAACATAGCTTCATCAAAAACAATCAAGATGTACTATTTTTGCCAAATGCACAAAATATCCAGTCAATTAGCATCTTTAAGAGCAGTTCCTTAAATGCTCCATTTCCAGTGACAATAGCTAAGTGTAACAACTTCAGTTAGTTTGTACAATGCATAATTAAATGGATAATATTACCCCCATGTTTCTACAGGAATCTTCATTCTGTGTGGTTTTGCGGGGGGCACGTTTGGGTCAGGCTGCCCTCAGTGACGTGCTGCAGGCTGGCTGTGTCCCCGTCATCCTCGCTGACTCCTACATCTTACCATTCTCTGAAGTACTCGACTGGAAAAGGTCTGAATAAGTCACGGAACAGTTAGAGTTTTTTTTTTCAACAAGTGTGTTTATTAATTTCAGAATAAACAATCACACTACAACAAATAATACAGGTGCAAAACAGAACTGTCACAGTAAGGCTTATCTTCAATAAGGCACACATGACAGAACAGTAGCATGCGTTATTTTGCACAGTCCAAAACATAAATCATCCTTCAGAGTCACCGGTGGTTATCCCTTAGAGAAAAGCATTTCAAATAAAACAAAGTAAGAACAAACAGACAGATATTAAATACCTGGCAATTTCATTTGTTGGTGGTTTACATACAGGGGGATCATGCCTCCAATGCTTTCCTCCCTTCTAAGAACTCCATAAAAGATCTCCACATATTGTCAAAGATGAGATATTTAGCCTTGAAACGTGAAAGTGTGTTTTTCCCAGTGCAAGAGAGTCTGACAGTCCTGCAAGCCAAACACTAATACTTGGTTTGGTAGTGGATTTCCAAGCTTTGGCTATGGTATATTTGGCTTGTAGCATGCAAAAAGTAATCATAGATTTGTTTGCCTTGCTAAGGTTATGATTTACTGGAAAAACACCAAAGATACACAGTTTGGGATCTATTGAAAGTTTTATACCTGTAACATGTAAAATCATATCTATCACTTCACTCCAAAAAGCCTGAATCTGTGGGCATTCCCACGGAACAGTTCAAGTTAAATAGTTTGACAGCCGGCCATTTTTTGTTCACTGATTTAATGTTTCTGTCTCTGCACAGGGCATCTGTGGTTATTCCAGAGGAGAAGCTGTCAGAGATGTACACCATCCTCAAGAGTATTCCTCACAGACAAGTTGAAGAAATGCAGAGACAGGTAACAGTCACAATGTTTTAACTGAAGAAAACATCTCTCAGCCAAATATTCAAAGTGCTCATATTTAGCTGCAGCTGGAGAGCTCAGATTGACATGGTGGTCAAAGGTGCTCTCGCTGTGGTTGGAGAACTTGCATGACGTGTCTAAGATATGCTTGTACCCCAACCAACCAACCAGGCAAGTTTATGGCAGCCAAAATGTTATGTGTTGTGCGACAGACAGGAATTTGGATTCCACCCTTGCTTTTTGTCAGTTTGAATTTCCGTCCTTGCTCGGTGTAGATTTTCAAAAGCTTTCAGAAGACTCAGCTATGTTGATATTTGCTTGAGTGTAATGCACACAAGCCGGCTCATTCTCCCTTCCCATTTGATATTTACATTGAGCCACAATAAACAAAAGTGAAAGCAGCTATGAAAGAAGTACACCATTTCAGCTGCTCTTCATTCTCTTGTATCAACTCTGGTCCATTTACCAATTATACTGGCCAAACAGACATTCTAGGCCAAGGGCTCAGAGACTTGGGGTTGGATTACACCAGACAAGCTGAAAAACATGGCTCGCTCTTTAGGCGGTGGTGGTGTTGGCTGGGGGTATCCCACTGTGTAGAGCTCACAGCTATCACAGATCTGATATTATATTGTTATCCACTGGTAACAGTGGTCCTCTGCCTGCCCTGATGTTGCTCAGATGGACTGAATTGTATGCAAGTTGATTCTTCTTCTGAGACATGATACTAATGCTGTATCACTATCTACAGATTAAATGTAGCGTCCTGTAGTTATGCTTTTCTTTTGTCAGTATTTTCACCTACTGTGAACAATGATTGAAGATTGTAGCAAAATAATGGTGAAGTTTGTATATGAGATTTTGTGGACAGACTTTTATATTTTATTATTGTTACTATCTAAGAAATCTTGTCTGTCTTGTTATAAAAAGAAAAATAATTTAAGCTAATATACTCTAAAGATCATCTCACCCTTAAATGGGGTTTTTAACATCTGACTGGATGATGCACAGCAGTCAAACCTCAGGTTTAGCATTGTAACCTGGCTTGGTGAAACCAACAGTCCAATTCAAATTAAAAGGCTCTGGCTGTATTTGGTGTGGAGCTACACACCAGAGCCTTTGACCTGGTTCCAGTGTAAACCCCTGGATCGTTTAGCCACATCTGGATGAGCAGCTTCCAGGTCCAATTTTGGAATGGTGGAGTCTCCAGCTGCCTCTCCTCAGCTGCTAGACTCTCCAGTCAGACTGTTATAATGTCAGTGTGTACTGAGATCAGCCAGGAGAGCGTGTGTGGCTGAAGAATCAGAGACCATCAGGAACATCAGGGAGATGAGTGATCAGGCAGGTGGAACAGCAAGGGTAGAACATGGAACAAGGAGCAATCTACTTTTCCATTGCCTGTGTGGATTTTTAAATGGCATTGATTTAGGCTCCACACAAGAGAGACTGGCAGCGATGTTAAGGAGAATACATAGAAGGAAAGTGTACTGGCGATGGCTTATAATGGGAAATTCTGGTAGAAATGTGTATTGCCTGAGCAGCAGCTACGTATACAAAGCCATCAAGCAGCTTGTCCTTTTTTGTAGCATGGACTTCTGGCGATGGATATCTTTTTTGTGTGAGTAAGCAAGTTTGCAGTCGCAATCGATTGGGCTTTTGTGTTTTTCTCAGTGGCATCTTAACAAATGGTGAAGCATTGAAAGGTGATAAAATATCAAGGTTCAGTTCAGTTACATGGAGAAATGATGTGGTTAGTGAAGTGTCACAGTCGTCTCTGTGTGTCTTCTTTCCTCCTTTAAAAATAAAATTAAAACTTTCCCTGTTTACCTGAACATGGACCGCAACTTTCTGTTGAATCCCTGTTTAGGCTTTGTAGTGTCATAGAAGAGGGTCTCACCATCAGGAGTCCAAAGTGCAATACGTGAACAGTAATTTATCATCGAATAAAATGTTTTATCTGATTTGATTTGACACAATAACACACTATTTTTAACCAAGATACACAGTTTTATTTTTAAGGTGCATTTCATTTCTGTTCTATTTGAGATTTTCCACAACCCACATTTTATCATCTTGGATTCTTTTTACATTTTCCGTTATAAACAATTTTCATTTATAGTCTTCATGAGAAAAACTTTACAACAAAGAGTCTTAAAGTAGGTATGATAGCATAGCTTGAACATTGATTCGGTTGAACCGATGTATTTCATCAGTTTGACCAGCAGATGGCTCAGAAGATTTTGCTTTCACAGTGTGCCTGTCCCATGTTCTGTGACTTTTATATAGACAATGCAGAAGGAAATAACACTGAATTTAAAAAAAATTAATTGTAGTAAAGCTTTTAATTATAGTTTAACGTTTTTCAACATAAGTTATTAACTAACTAAAGGTTAGAGGTGATATTAATTAAATAAAATGCTGCTCTGATTAATTGGAAAAGATTGAAAGTTTTGGTGATTTAGTTCTGAAATGAATAACTGAATTCATTATATAACTGAAAAAGTTTTGAGACCAGGTCTTATTTGGATAGGCTCCTGCTCATCCTCCATCAGTAGACTTGTTTCAGACAGCAAAGCTTATTTTCAAATTTAAGATTATGTAATAGCATCCATTTAAGTCACTTTCTGAAGGCCACATACTGACAGCTGTGAAATGTCAACAGTGCTTAAGTGAGACCACTGAACTCATGTTTGTCTCCCATGAGCCTTGTTTGGGTTAAAATAGGTCACATACATTACAGACCTTTTTAGATTAGCATAATGAAATAAATTCACTTATTAAATTAGAATATATAAGCTGGTAAGAGGGAGTTATTTGACCAAGATTGACTTCAATTGACTCTTCATCCTTTGTTCTGCTGTTGATTTCAGCTTCAACTTGTCATCAAGCTTTTTGTTCTGGACTGTTGATCCAAGCTTTGTTGTAGCTTCTCACACATTGTATACAGTCCATGTAGCCTCTCCAGCTCCTCAGCGTGCAGAACAGTACGCTGGCTACTTCTGATTTATAGAAATCTGTCTGCTCCCTCCCCTACTGGCCTTGTGCTTTTTCTCTCTTTTTATGTGCTCCCTCATACAGAACTAAACCATCAGTCAGGATTATGGCAGGTGTCAGTTGTTTTCTGGTCAGTCAAAAATGTAATAATTAATGTTTCTTAATCTTGCCTATCTTGAGTTGCAAATTTAATTTCTTAAAGCAAATCCACACACATCCTGGAGTTATTGAAACTACACAGCCTATAAGATAAGGCTGTGTAGCCTGACGGCCTCCAAGGACTGTCTTTGTTAAACAAGGAGAACACACATTAGCTAATAAAAAATAAAAAAACTTATACTTAGTGAAATCTTAGGTATAATGGTCGAACAGTAGAATACACAATACAGTCCCATTGTGAGCCTTTGTCTTACTCTGCATAATTTTTGGGGGTAGTCTGTATTCAAGCAGCCATCGGTCTCACTAGTACAAAGACTGTCTCACATGTAACCTGCTGCTAAAGCCTGACTGATTTACACCTGTGAGACCAGGTAATTTATATATATGTGTGTGTGTGTGTGTGTGTGTGTGTGTGTGTGTGTGTGTGTGTGTGTGTGTGTGTGTGTGTGTGTGTGT